ACTTTCGCTGTCCTGTGGTGGAGGGGATGTGCTGCACTGGAGGGAAACCTGCTCTTCTGGGCTGCCTGGATTCCTCAGAGCTAGCAGAAGGAAAGACTAAGTCTGCTGGTTCACAGAGACTATGGCCACCCTTTTCTCTAGGGGGTCAGCCTCAGGGAGATCAGAGTTCTGTCCCTGAGCCCCTGGCTGGAGTGTAGGGAGGCCTCGCCCAGTGAGGAGGGATGGGTCAGTGTCTGGCTTAAAGAGGCAGTCTGGCCGTAGTCTGCCATAGCTGGTGGCTGGGCTGTGGGGAATACCTCTTGGGACCCAGTCATCCAACCTCCCTGGCTTCAGCAGGGGAAAAGTGTGGCCTGGAGCTTTAGTGATGGCTGCCGCCCTTCCCCACTGGGAGCTTAGTGTGTTAGGTAGCTAGCAGCTGCAATGTTGGCTGCTGCCCCTCCCCCAAGGAACTCATACGGCTTAGACAGCAAGCAACAGCAGCGGTGGTGATGCCGCCCCTCCCCCCACAAACTTGGCAGACTTAAGCAGATTCCAGTCAAGTGGCTGTTGAGAATCTGCGTGGCTCTGTGGTTGGGACCCTAGGCCCTGGTGGCATGGGTTCATGAGTGGGATCTTCCCGATCTATGGGTTGCACAGTTCCTTGGAAAAATCAAGGTTCCCCAGGCTGGGTAGCACACTTACTTCCTGCCTCCCTTGTCTGGGTGTGGGGGCTCCCCTGCCCTGTGTGGCTCTCAGGTAGGCAGCCACACCACACTGCTCTTCCTTTTTCTCTCTGGGTCATGCCAGCCGCCTATCAGTCCCGATGACAGAACTGGATACTTTGGTGGCTGGTGCAGGATTTGTATGCTCTTTTGCTTCTTTTAGATGAAAGTCTCTGATCACCACTACTTCTAGTTGGCCATCTTGGCCCCCCCTCCCCTGCCCCCCAATAAATTCCTGTACTTTTTTTTTTTATCTTAAAGGGAGAACTATGTAGGGATTTTTTAAACATTTCATTAAAAGTGATTTTAACTAGAAAAAAAATAAATTTGTGGTAGGAATGGCAAGTTTCATTCTTATTGAAAGGACTTTTTTTTCTTCATATTTTGGTCATAATAAGCACTCACTAAATGAGAGCACAAAACAAAACAAAACAAAAGTAAATGAATAAAAGTTTTTAACTTTCTATTCACTACTATTGAAAACACTTGTGTTTAGTATCTTTATGCTAACTCCCCTTTTCCTTGCTTCTTTTTCTAAGATAGTGTCACTTGTGTGAGAAAAAGGGTCTCACATGACCATGTTGTGGCAGGGGACAAATGGAACTCGTTGGACTCATGCTGTTACTGGGTGGATACTTGCTATCCTCCATTGAGACACAGCAATCCTGGCCCAGTCACTGCTCCCCCATCTGGCTGGAGTAACCTGTAGCCTAAGCTTGTCCAACCTGCGGCCCCAGGATTGCTTTGAATGTGGCCCAACACAAATTTGTAAACTTTCTTAAAACATTATGAGTTTTTTTGGTGTTTTTTCCCCCTAGTTTATCAGCTGTCTGGTAGTGCATTTTATGTGTGGTCTAAGACAATTCTTTTTCTTCCAATGTGGCCCATCAAAGCCAAAATATTGGATACCCTTGCTACATGGATTGTCCTCTCTCATGCTTTCTGATTAACTGGGCCTCATCTTGTCTCTAGATGGCAGAGAAAACCTACTGAGTTTTGGCCATATCCTCTATCCGCTTCTTGGCCTAGAAAGCCAACATTATAACCTCTGCTGCAGGGTCACCATATCCCTTTTATAAGAAACATGTGCTAGGTTCCTTTTTATCCACACGTTGAGAGCCAGTAGTCTTTTCTCAGGTTCATCCATGAGTGAGAGGAGCAGAGGGAAACGCTGGGTTTAAACTGAGGCCGTGTCCCTCTGTCCATCTGCTTTTTGGGCTCTCTTCCACTCCCAGTAGAAAGTTCAATGTTTCCACAGGGACAACCTGAAAGATGGTTCCTCCTATATTTGCAATGGAGACAGGACATCCACTTGCCATCCACCAGTAAGTTCTCCTCCCTTCTGGGATTTAAAGTCCTAGAGAGGAGCACCACTCCCTGAACCCTGACTTGGTCTCCCTTACCTGTCTTTGTCTACCTCTGATTCCAACTTCATGGATTTCAAGAGTGTCTTCAGCTCATTATGTAAAAATTTTGGAATTTGACCATCCAGGTACATCTCTGTAGTTCACTAAAGGAAAGGTAGAGGGTTTAGCACACCTTGTTAGCACAACTTGTTTTGCCATTTTCTACGCTGGACTAAAAAATAACATGTCTTGGTCTCTGTAGATGACTGTGAGGTAAATAAGTTGCATTATTTAATATTTGCAAAGTGATTGCCCTCATTACAACTTTTTACATGTAATCACTAAGAAATCTGACACCTCTTATTGCTCCTTTCATCTTCTGTAATTTTTATTTTAATCCCTTTATCTTTCTTATTTCTTTTAATCTCTATTTCCATTTTTTAAAAATCTCAAATTTGATGAGAACTCTGGTATACGACACTGTCCCTGAATTATGCTATTAAAAAGGAACCATAACAACTAAGGGCATTCTCCTTAACACCAATCTCCTGTACCTGCAATTTGCCACCAGAACACTGTCTTGATACGAAGATGCTACTTGATTTACCTATCACTAGTGAGGGAACAGCACTGTACTAATGTTGAGCGCATCACATTTGCCCCTTCATTATGTAATGTCTCCAATTTTTCAATGTGTGTTGTTAGTTTTGTCTTCCTGCTTAATAATAACCTTCTTACATGATTTTGTGTGTCTGTCAGATTGCCGTTTATACTGTGAGGTGTACAAAATATTAACAAATATCTGTTATTGTAGTGGTCAGTAAGAAATATTGTTCAATTAAACATAACTGAACTATAACTACCAATCATCTTTTGTCCCTGGGGGAGGGTGAGAGAACCAAGAGTATTTTATGAGTACGATGACTATTCAGCTTGTACCTCTTCTGAGTAAGATAAAAGATGTGAGAACTGGCCTGAGTAGAACTATGCTTAAAAGCTATCTCTTTTAAACATGCTTGTGGTATACAACAACCACAATCTATTATTGTGGAAAAAATTTTACAAGTAGGCACAGAAAATAAACTGTTGTATGTTATAACCATAGGTAAATGCTCTATTTAACAGCTAAAAATGCAGTTACTTTCATGAGCTTTGTGACTAATTTCTTCTGAAGTGTGTGCTTGGATAACAAGTACCAAATCTTAAGTTTGTCGTCAGTGAAAATAAACGAATATCAAGAGGTTATCTCATAATTTTTGTTTTGTGTATTTAACTTCATTCTCTCTAAAATTGAATTTATTTTCACTTAGCGAATTAGTTTTGCATGGGTAGTATGCTTAAAATGGGACCACATTAATGAGTCTTTGTAGACATCTCACATCAGTCTTTTCCTACCATCCTCAAATTATACAAGTGCACATATACCAATACACAGAGTTAGACATTTATTTCATTAATTATTCACCTATAGTGTGCTGAGGTGTTATTTTGCTAGGATTCATCATACTGCCTCCTTTTCGCATTTGAAGATGACTGATCAGGATTGTGGATTGAGTCTTTGGTCAAGAAATATAGTGAAGTTAACAAATTATATAGTCCTCACATCCAAGTCACACATGTCTTGCAGTCTGCTACAGATATTATCTCACTGTTAGCATTTGTCACAGGTCTTTGGAAGAACGTGGTGCTATGAAGTGTGTGTGTGTTCTTATCAGAAAAGACTTCTAAATGTAATGGTAAAAAAAATTAGGAAACATGATCGTTGTTCAAGCTTTATTATTAATTCAAAACATAATTTTTAAATTGATGGATTTGGTCTAATTGATGGTGCAATAGCCTTCTATCCCCAGAAATATTCTTGATTGCATCCTTAGAAGCCAATATGTATTTACCCATAATTTTATTCTACTATTTTCTAAAAATTCAAGAAACTTTTTGAATTTAATTTCTGCCAGATTTTTTCAAACTAGAGCTGAATTATAAATGAAACCACTTTACCAAGAACCACAAAGAGTGAGGGTGTTGCTTTGTGAAGTTTGAGACCTTATTAATATTCCAAACCAAACTTGACTACTGCTACCTCATTACATGGCATTGGACAGATATTTAAATAGTTTTAAACATTTTAATTCAGCTGGTAACTTGATTTAAAACAACATTGATTTTGTAAAAAATTTATTCTTGGTCATATATATCATCTAAATATCAAAATGAATTTGTAAGTATTTGAGGCTGTCTGTATGACAGGGTATTAAATTCTTGGAGAGTCTTTCTTTCCCCATGCTAATTTTCATCAATTTTTCCATTGCTTTCATTTCCCCTTGAGCTTTAGCTTTTTAGAAGAATGATTCATTCTTTTCAGCATATACCATGATCATTAAACAATTACATCTTTATCAAGCAGAGCAGCAAAAGACTCCATGGATAGTAATGAGGTTGGAAACTCTCCTGTACAACCTGTTGGCTCATCTTGGAAGAAGCATGTGATGCCAAATTATTTTTTATGTGGTCAGTAATAATGTTCTAACAAGGGTGGATGGAGAGATGAGCATAAAGGGCAATTCTAATGGAAAGAACGATAGTAATATTCACCTTGCCAAAACATGGTAATGTCTTGACAAGATGCTACATGCTCTTGCTGCTAAATTAGGTTTTATACTAATTTAGCAGCCTCTACAGCTATCTGCTATCTTTCAGAATGAACTAGAAGAGAAATAATATACCTGTCATGTTTTAGAAATCTTTCATATGACTATGTAATAATTGCCTTGAGAATACCTATTAAACCTAGACTTTATGATGCATTAATTGTGTGGAATGGTCCTGAAAGTATGAGTGGAGTAGGCAGGAAGAAAGTTTATTTGAATGTAGTTGCAGTCTCTACCTACCTTTAATTTTTAGCTTTGTACTGAACTCCAATATCACTGAAATTTTAACTTTTGATGTTTCCTAGGTACAGAATTTCAGAGTGGGATATCAGATCTTTAGTGTGAAGATACATCTACATTAAACCAGAAATCACTGAAAGTGACATTTGGACAAGAACATTTGGAAAATTTTAAAACTGTGAAGGTTGATCATGGAAATTAAAGAGGAAGGGGCATCAGAAGAAGGGCAGCACTTTCTTCCTGCAGCCCAGGCCAGTGATCCCGGGGACTGTCAGTTCACAAGTAAGTATGTGTGTATCCCTCCCTGTTTTTGCATCTAAAGATGCAAATTGGGTCGACGAAACATACATGTATATATATGTATTCATAGATTCATAGGAACTTCGGTTCTAACAAATGGCATGAAATTACCTAAATATTTTTTCCTTTGCACTATTTACCTTGGTGGTGTGAGTGTATGATATGCCTCTCATCTTTTATCTTGGGTAAGATAGATGATGATCCATGAAACGGTTAAATATCAAGTAACAAGACCAAAGTTCTTGAATATATATTAAAAGCCTAATACTTTTTAAGTATACCTTCTAGACACTAATACTTCCTACGAATAACTTCTATTGGTATTTATATAATCTTATATGGGAATATTTTTTATACTGTAGAAATTCTCTCTTTAAACCCAAAAGGAAGTTAAGTTGAAAGCATTAAGAAAAAAATGGTTACACTGGAAATTTAGACTGTCACTGCCATACCAAAGAGCACTAAGCCACAAATATAGAGCCAGTGGAGATTTGGTCAAGTTTGCATGTGAACATTAAAATTCATTTTTTATTACTCAAGTAATTAAAATCATTGGAAGAATTGTATGTTTGCTTTTATATTTAAAATTCTAGGGTTTGGGTTTTATTGTTCAGCATGAATTACGCCTTTTTCTTTTCTTTTCAGAAGATTCCTATAGTCCAATTATTTAAAACTGGCCAATATATGCCTAACCTTCTCTTTTAATTTACATTATAAAGCTAATCTTTAGAAAATTGTGTTGGTTGGAGGCATTTTTGAGAAATTTGGTTGTCAATGTTTAAAGCAGAGTTAATTGTTAATGACCTTTTAAAAAAACCCAGACATTTCAAGTTCACAAAAGCCTACCTAATGATTGTCACTTTAACCTCTCTTGAAAAATCTAAAAATTGTTAACCAAAGCAATTGCTAAATGTCAGCAGAAGGAAAAAATATACAGTTACTGTGCAAAAATAAATAAGTAAATAAATAAATAACTCTGTGAATAAAAAGCAGTTAATTTTTATACAAAAGGGTAATTCTTAAAATATATTAGTGACCAAACGCCAGTAAATTTAAATAGTATCTGATGAATGCACCAGCAAAAATAAACAAGGAAAGGATTTGTATAATATTCTTTCATTTATTGCCAAATAGTTTACTTTTCCATACATGTTAGTTTTACTTATTTGGCCACCCTTGAGTTGTAACAAATGGCATCCCAGTCATACATCCAGTCATCCACTCTTGTTTAGGAAGCTTCTACACTGTGTGTGGTCTTCAGGCATCTACCCATATCACTTCCCGTAATCTGATCACTCTACCCTCTAGCCGTTAGATGGTTCCATTTCCATACCTTTGTCCCCAGACTCACTTTCCCTCCTAGTTCATCCTAAATTATTTAGCCATCTTGTTATATTTTTTAAACATTGCTGACCGAAAGAATGGAAACATTTTATAAAATGTTGGTTTGAGCTATTACTAAATTAGTAGAACAACCAGCACTATAATGTACATCATAACCTAGCTGAAGATACCTTTTTTGTTATTGATTTACTATTTACAGCAGGTCAGAGTGGCTTGGAAAAAATCCATTTAAGAGAGTATTTTGGTAAGGGGGTTCTTTATGAAGGATCCACTTCTGTCTACATTGCATCCAAAAGAAACACAGTTGTAAAATATGTTTTCTGTTTGCCATGGCTTACAAAAACAACATTTCTTAGTTTCTTTATAACCATAGAGATAAAATGACCAATCAAATCTTAAGTCATATCTAGTTCTGCAACAAATATTATGCCCTGCCCTGAGAACTGATTATTTATAGGCCTGATAAACCAAGTTTATTCATTCTGCCAAATATTGTATTTATTCATTCTGGTCACGATGAAGCATAGTAATATATATTGACATATTCTTGATAATTTGATTTTTTTTAAAGCTGAATTTGCGTCTATTATTTATAGGTATCCAGAAGACTCCAAATGAACCACAGTTGGAATTCATCCTTGGTAAGAAATTCCATCTTATTTGTATCAATAAATATAAGAATTTGTGTAGTATTTTGCAAAGTATAGGTACATTGCTTACATCAATACATATTTTACAAATTTTTATGAACATTGTTCTGTTTTTAAAATTGTTCTATAAGGTAGGTGTTATTTTCTCCAAATTTATAGGAATTAACTTGCTGCCCAAGGATACAGGGTTCAGTGGTGATAGTTTTGCCTCTCAACCAGATCTACTGATCACACATTTCATGCCCAGCACTCATTCTAACATAGTGACTGCATTTTGTTGCTAACCAACGTTCCTGCAACTCTGTTTGTCTAATTTTCTATACCTGGGCTGGAGACTGGCCACCTATAGTTTGTCTTTGTGTTCTTTATGGCATTTCCAGGATTCCTGCCCATTTCTATCTTATTCAAGAACATTCCCTGACTCTTCCATATTGATTTTTGTGAACATGCCAGTGACATGTGAGAATTTAACTTTCAATCAAGCTTTGACTTGTTTAAGCAACTCTAAATATCTGTCACATGTAAAAATTTGTAACTTTGTCCAAGGATGAATTAAAAGTGTGCATTCTGAGACCAGTCCACTACTTAACTAATGAGTGGAAACTACTTTATATTTGAATTAAGTGTGACTGCAAAAATATCATTAGGAAATTAGCTACAAAGAGGTACTTAAGGTAAAAATGTGGTTCATATGAACTATATAGACTGGTCTTTTTTTTTCCTTTCATGGTTCTGAATTATTTCGGAAAGACAGTAGTATTTTTACATTTTATTTTAAACTAAGTTTTATAGACTAATACATGCACATATTCAATTTCATATACAGAGACCACATATAGTATTATAGTATAAACATTTTTACATATTAACATATATTTTCTAAAGTTTGGGGAGCAAATTGAAATACTAAAACCCAGTATACATACTCTATACTGGGTTTTAGTGGTTGGAATTTCTAAGTATTTTAGGAACAGGCATTTTTATTATGTTTTATATTTATATTTTTTGCTAAAATATTTTATTTTAAAATATAACTTACTGAAACCATAGTTGATATGTAATTCATTTTTTGAACATTCTTTGTTACAAATATAGCTAAAAATGTGCTATAAATTAAATATTAAAGACTTAAATTTTTCCAGGTATTGAGAAACAGGCAGAAATGTGAAAAACTCAAGAAAATTTTATAGTATCAAAAATGAAGCTATTATTTTTTTCTCTCTCTCTTTCTCTAGAGAGTTTTCAGATTGTATCAGATATAAAAAGAACATGTTTTTGGAAATGGAGCTGAAGAGCAAAAGAAAGGCTAGGCACTCTTCACTCTTACTACTTGAGCTTACATCTATCCATCTTTCATTTTTAAGAGAAGAAACTCACTTTTTACATTTTTGACAGTACTTCTGAAAAGTGAAGTTTCATTAGAGTGGTTTGATGTATTTCCAAGCACAAATAAAGCTTTGTTATTTGCCTGCTGGACAAAGAGGGAATCTGAAGAAGCAGAAGCAATTAGGGTGGCAATTGTCAGGCAAATGTGGTGGCCAGCCTTCAAGAAATGGCATACCTGAGCCAAATACCTGTCTTCTAGTGCAATTAAGAGAATCTATCTTGTTCAAAGACCTAACTATGTTGTTTGTTTAGAAAGCCAAGTAAATTTCAGTAACAACACTATCATCACTTGTATTTCCGTTTTTGAATCACAGAATTAACAGATTAGCAGCTGCAATAATTTATTCATAATAATGTTCTTCCAGTATAAAAAACTTCAATTTCCTTTTTTATATTTATTTTTAAAATATACTAAGAAACAACACCAAATAATTCTGTCTTATCAAATGGCAAGAAATGCTTGATGAATGTTTTTTCAAGTCATCATGGAACTGTGTTGTTGATCCTAGAAGACACAGTTCCCAAACTGTTAGGTTCCTTAGCACTTAAGATCTTCAACTACACCATTTCTTGAAGACTTTTTAAAAACTACTCTCTCAAAGATATTACAGATAAACACTTGTATGTTTTACTGTATATTTTTGTCATGTTTTTTTGAGATTTTTTTAATCCCACAAATCCTTCGATGTCACCTATTGTATGAGTAACTTCTATTCATTTCCTAACAACTAATGAAAGAAAAATAGCTTCTTAGATATTTGTATCATGTTTAAGGGGGTGCATATTTATTTAATCAGAAGTAAAACAAGAACAAATTCTAGGAAAAAGAAATTCAGTAAGGTAGAGGGCTTTTTCATCTAATTATCATTATTATTATTTTTGAGACGGAGTCTGGCTCTGTCGCCCAGGCTGGAGTGCAGTGGCCGGATCTCAGCTCACTGCAAGCTCCGCCTCCCGGGTTTATGCCATTCTCCTGCCTCAGCCTCCAGAGTAGCTGGGACTACAGGCGCCCGCCACCTAGCCCGGCTAGTTTTTTTGTATTTTTTAGTAGAGACGGGGTTTCACCTTGTTAGCCAGAATGGTCTGGATCTCCTGACCTCGTGATCCGCCCGTCTCGGCCTCCCAAAGTGCTGGGATTACAGGCTTGAGCCACCGTGCCCGGCCTCATCTAATTTTTTTAACGAAATCTCTGGTATTTGATTCTCTACTCTTAACCAAAGTATTCAAATTATTTAGGAATTTCAATGGCCTTGCTTTTTAAATTAGGAAAGCAGCCACACTGACCAATTTGTTAGATAACATCTTGCTTTGTTTAAGTTATTTTCCATCAAGGATTTATGTCCGCTTTGTTTGTGTGCTGCTATATAATAATTATATCTTGTTGAAGTTCCTCTGCTTATTGAGTTCCTCTGCTGAAGTTCCTTACTTATCCAAATAAGTAAGGTAGGAGGTACTTAGTCAATTGAGCAAGCTAATTGGCTAAAAGCGTCTTGAGCACAAGATAAGCATGTACTGAAAAACTGAGTATCTCTTGTCCATTGTTAACTGTATTTCTAAAGGTTGACTGCATTTAAATTAAATAATTCACCCCTACAACCGCAACTCTGTTTTCTCATATTTTGTTTCTTTGAGTGTATCAATACTTTTTTTTTTTTTTCCACAAAGAAAGAAATAGTTAAAAACCTAAGAGAACAATGAGTTTGTTTATGGTTTAATGAAATTGTTTTGATTTCAATAAAGTTGGCATTTAAGAAGAGGGATCATTTCTTAAAAACTAAGGACATTTCTTTATGGAAACAATTGTGGAAAATGTATAAAGAAGACTGATCTTGACAAGTATATAAAATACACTTCTATGAACTACTTTAAGGTTTTTCTCCTGATGATTATTCACCTCCACTTATTATGTCTAGAGTCAATAGAATGCTTATGAGAATGTCTTCATATTTTATATGTACATCACATATACTATAAATCCAAAACAATAGATACTAATACCTATTAAATACATAGGAAAGAATGGCATGCATATGTTTGCATATGTGTTCCATGTGTTCTTTCCTTGACACTCTGAAGTAATGTTCTTGAAATTAATTTATTCCTTGATGGCTAATACTCAATGCAAGCCAAATGACCAGATACGGGATACAATAAAAGATACATTTTGTACATGTCAACAAGCTTTGGGGTTGATTATGATAGGAATGGGGGCTTGGAAGCTAGAGTGAAAGCCTTAATAAGCACAAGTCATTTGCTCATCTAAATTATATTGGGAGAGGCATTGAAAACCTATATATAAAATCATTTCAGATAGTGTTAAGTTCTATGTAGACAGAAAGATAGGCCACTGGATAGAACATATCCAGGGGAGAGGCACTTGACTTGGGTGAAAGAGAGACTACTTTAGATATAGAATTCAAAGAAGACGTCTAAGTGCTTATGCAAGGTATGGATACTAATTTGGATATTGTCCATATTGATCCTAAGAATTGGGTGACTTTCCAAGTAGGAGGGGACGAGCTATACTAGACATTTAAATAACACATAATAGGGTTCTTATAATGGGAATATTGGGATCGAAGGGTAGTAAATTAGGTTAGTGATTTGACCAGGAATGAAACCAAGTTACACGTTGTTCTGATTATGAGGTTAAAAAAAAAAAAGCCACAGGGAGAATGGCAAAATAGTGGAGGACCATTTGCTGGGCTACTGAAATCCCAAGATCAGAGTAGGACAATTGCAGGATAGACTACATGCTGAGCCAGTGAGATCTCACTCTCATGCTTCTTGTATTGTCCCCTCACTTTCACCTTTAACTAAGCTGCAGCTATCTGAATAATGGGATCAGGCCTGGTGATTGGATGCTGCTGAACATCTAGTGAGTAAAGGATGGAGAGATATGGGATTTGAAGCCAACAGATTGTTAGATCTTTTGCCTTTTGTGGAGCTGTTTTCTTTTAAGAATCCATATATTATGTGTAGAATAATTTTCTTCAAAAAATTTTTTCTCTTAAATTTAAAATGTGCTGACAGGCCTGGTGCGGTGGCTCAAGCCTGTAATCCCAGCACTTTGGGAGGCCGAGACGGACGAATCACGAGGTCAGGAGATCGAGACCATCCTGGCTAACCCGGTGAAACCCTGTCTCTACTAAAAAATACAAAAAACTAGCCGGGCGAGGTGGCAGGCGCCTGTAGTCCCAGCTACCCGGGAAGCTGAGGCAGGAGAATGGCGTAAACCCGGGAGCGGAGCTTGCAGTGAGCTGAGATCTGGCCACTGCACTCCAGCCTGGGCGACAGAGCCAGACTCCGTCTCAAAAAAATAAAAATAAAAAAAAAAATAAAATGTGCTGACTCCTTCACCATAGGTTTTACTGGCACATAAAATAGGAGTAACCTGTGATTCAAATTATTTAACAAAGCCTTTATTTCTCGGTTTTCTCTAAAATGGGTAAATCCACATTAGCTGCTATAATTTTATATTAATATAGCAAAAATTATCACAAAAATAAATAATAGGCAATGTAGAAACACATCATAATTATGTCTAGAATGTGGCCATCCATCATACATTTTTAGACATATTTAACCCTCTTTTTTTCTATTTC